TGAGCAGGTCCTGGCACTTCTCGTGGCACTTGACGCCGCACTCCAGGCAGCGCACGCCCTGCCGCGCGATGCCCCACAGCAGCCCCTCGCACTCGTAGCAGTAGGTGGGCGTGGTGGCTGTCCACACCTCGAAGGCGTGCGGCGTGGTGCAGGACATGGGGTAGACGAGCGCCTGCAGGGTCTTCCTGAAGACGTGCATCTTCTGTGGAGGAAGGTGGCAGCAGGTCAGGGATGGAGGGTGTCATGGCCCAGCTGGGACCTGTCCTCTCCTCCCGTAGGGCCCGACCCGGGTCGGACCTGGGAACACAGCGCCGCTGCCTGCACCCTGGCCGCCCGTCCACTCGCTCCTTTCCTTGCAGGCCATGGTTCTAACCCCTAACATCCTCTCCCTCCTGCTTCCCGCAAACCCCGCGACCCCAAGAGGACCAGCACCTGCTCACCTCCCCGGAGCCCTCAGCTCCTCGTGATCCGGCCTAAGCGGGCTGGGAACACTGACTCCAGCCCAAGTCCCCCGGGCCAGCCTGGTCCCCGCTGACTCTTGGCAAAGCGTGAAGGGCACGGAAAACATTCCTGCCGCTGCCCCATCGCACTTCCGTCCTGCCCCAGCCTCTCTTCCTCACTGCCACCCATGCTGCCCCTCTGCCCCGAGGCTGCAGCACCGAGCACTTGGAAATGATCTCACCAACCCACGTGCGCAGGGGCTGAAGGTCAGATGTGGCCTGCTCCCCCATGACCTCCACGGTGGAGGGCGCCGACTAGGTTTCCTACAGAGAAGCCACCGCGGGCTGGAAGCACCCTCGGGGCAACAATCCCGGAGACAAGCACAGGTCCCCCATGCCCAGTGTGGGGCCGAGCACAGCTTTTACCCTGCTCCCCTCTGTGCCCCTGCAGGACCTGCTGCTGCCCCTGTGTGTGACGTGACTCAGTGCTCTACCACGCAGAAGCCTCCAATCCACAGAGACGCTGAGTCTCTAGGACGGACCTTCCTTCTTCTCTGCCGTTCCTATCGTACACTGTTAGGTGAGGATCAAGTTATATACTGACGACAAAAGTATCCCACAGCCTTCACACCCCAAATAAATGCTCAGTACGCTATGGACGGGTGATGGAGGATGAGCAGAGGAGCCCCTCGCACACCCCACAGCGCACTCTGGGAGCATGCGTGTGCACAGACACATGCCAAGGTCACATCTACAGTGACTTCGCACAATGTCTGCCGTGGGGTTAGTGGTCAGGAGAAGGCCTGCAGTGGCCCAGCTCACAGGGAAGGCGACAAGGGGCATGAGTCCCCCCCGCGCCTCCTCTCAGAGCATCTTCCCACGGAGTTCAGGTTACACAGCTAGACAAACTGCACTGTGGTTTTACCTAGACATAAGCGGACCTCAGGACTCCTGGGTGGGGCTTTGGGGAGTGACTGGATGGAGGGTGAGAATCCATCCCTGGATCAGGCCCTGCTGGCTTGGAGCTGGGTGCGGGGTTGGGGAAGAAGCCTGTGGAAGAGGTGGGTCCCTGTGGGCGTGGCACAGACTGTGCGTCTCCCTCCTGCAGGGTCTTTTCCGTCCCTCTCTGCTTCCTGCCCGCCACTCCGGGAGCTGTTTCCCTTCTGCCTCGGAGCCAGCAGACTACGGACTGGAGTCTACGGCTGTGAGCCACATAAACATCCCCTCCTTTAACTGTGGGCGTCGGGTGTCCCAGCAAGGAGAACGGTCCTAGGATATCCTGGAACCATCACTCCGGTAAGGACAGCCATGGACTAGCAAATCTCCTGCCTTCGGGATGAAGGACACTGAGGCTTCTTTGAGAATCAGGGCGCATGCTGTCCCTTTTTGCCCTCCATTCCCTGGCTAGCAGACTGGTTATCGCCAATACCGCTGCCCTGACCAGGCGATCGCAGCTTTTCTTCCTGCTCTGCGGAGCCCGAGGGCCCAGGGCATGAGTATGTGTGCGTATGCTCTCATGTGCATTTAACATGGCATCTGTGGTCTGGCTGAACAACTGGGGAGAAAATGAAGTTAGCTTCCAAATACGTCAGGCGGTTTTTGTCTTCGTGGGGACAACTCTTCTAATTCAACAGAGAGCCAGCTGGGCACAGAACTGTGCGCTGTCAACTCGAGAGAGGGAAGACACACACACACACACACACACACACACACACACACGGGTTTAGAAAGCAGAGTTGGTCTGGGGTTGCTCTGCTCAGGAAGCCATCCACGTGCTACTGGTGTTAGTGCCTGATTGATATAGTTCATCTGACCTTCTATGATCCTTTTCTTTTCACTAAACTCAGTAACACAGGGCTCAGTAAACTCAGCCCTGCCGATCCTTAGGCTGCAGAGAGAGCAATGAATATAAGTGACACTAAAAAAGTGAACACACTGGGGAAAAATAAATAAAAGGTCTGAATACATAGTTAAGAAAATTTCACTGAAAAGTTTTGCTTGATTTGGTTTTGTTGAAGACCCGTGGTCTGTTTCATGCAAAGGCAAACCAATTGAGGAAAAATAAGAAACACGGAAAATTTAACAGCATACTGAAAATCAATTGCATGAGGCATTAAAGTAAATTTCCTCTTAAAAGGTACAAATGCTGAACAAAAACATCAGATGCAGGCCGAGGAGGAACCTCTGTGCCCAGGCCCGGAAATGGCCATCTGAGTCTACTCAGTCTGCATTTTTGGGATAAGGTGCTGCTCAAAGCTGAAACGAAGAAAAGCAGCAAGCGAGTATATCCCTTATTTCCCAAAACGAGAGAAAGAATGAGAGTCAGTGTCGAGACAGAGGTAACTAACTGCTGAGGGAGCAGGTAAGACACCGTTCATCTAGGGACCAAATTTTAAATACATTTCATAGGACAAGACTGTAGCTTCTCAGAGGAGCACTGCATCGTGGGGGAAGAATGTGCTTCCTTGACAACGAAGTCAGACCTGTTCACCATGATTATAAGAGGGACAGAGGGCTGGGGACCTTGTGGAATAGAACGAGACTGATCGATGACTCGGGACTTAGCCCAGTGGTTCCACCACCTGCCTAGCAAGTTCAATCCCGGTACCAAAAAAAAAAAAAAAAAAAAAAAAAAAAAAAGAGAAAAAAAAAAGAAGAAAAAGAGAAAAGAACGAGACTGATCTAGAGGCGGAAAGAAAACAGCAAAAAATCCCCGAGGGCGCCATGGCACAGGAAGTCGCAATTCTCACAGGAGGTGGGGACGGTTTCCCTCCCGTGAGGCGCCGGTGACTCACTGCACAGGAGACGGTGCTAGGTGGAGGGATCACATCGGGTCGGCCTGGGCCACAGCACTCAGACCTGGGCGGGCAGACAGAACGCGGGCCGCCCCAGCCCTCCTTCCTCGGGCTTTTGTCTCCTCCCCAGCTGGTAGGCGCGGGGGTGAACCGGGGGTGGGAGGCTCTGTGCAGGCTGTGTGCACACTGCAGTTGACAGAAGGTCTCTTGGACACCAAGGATCAGGCATTTGGGTCTGGGACCCGGGTTCCCGGGGACACAGGGACGACCGTCTGGAGTCGGTGAGAAAGGGTAAAGAATTTCCCTGTAGCTAAAGCTGCACTTGCTAACAGGGAAGATGACTTCCCTCCAATTCCTTTAACAAGCCTGGGCCTCCCTGGGCCCCAGTCCCTCAAACATCTCAGGAATTTTCTTTGCTCTGCCTTCCCGCCATATGCAAATAAGGTGAAATTCAGTGCAGGGTTAACCAATGAACCCGCTGTAGGTGAAATTCTGTAAACCAATAAGGTTGCTGGGCCCTATGTAAATGAAGGACTGGAACTTGTAACCCCACCCCTTCCAAGCTATAACACCCCAGCTCTGGCCGAGTCACTGGGCCAGTCTCTGTGGACAAGTCCCAGGGCTGACTCAGTGGCATTAGGAATAAAGCAGTACACTTTGCCCCCGAAACTTCTAGGTGCGTCTTCCCTCCTCCTGGGCTGTCTGCGTCGAGCTGTAGACAGTCAGCTGTATGTACTGGCTGGCCCTTTGCCGCCTTAGGTGGACCCCAGAATAACAAAACCCCAGGACCCCGAGGAGGACTTAATCCTGAGGGATTTGGCCATATGGAAGGCTTGCTATTTAAATAGTTTAGATAATCTTAAACTCTTCAAGTCTTCTGAAACACATTATTTCCTAAAAGATGTGCATTTTCTGATTATAATAAAGCACATCTCCCTGAAGAAACAACTCATCCAACAGGCATTAAAATAAGACAATATAGTTTATCATTTCAAAGTCAGGCATGGTTGATATGTGTCTTTCTGGTATTTTTTTCTATGCATGTACAAGATGTAAAACTTCTCCAATTAGAAACATCAATTACAGCATTACTTTCTTATTGTTTTACTAATTCCAAAGAAAAAGGCACTTTGTAGTGTGTAGATAGTTTTAAATTGATAAAAAGAGAGTAAGGAAAGTTTCTCTTTTTGAGCCAGGTACTACCTATAGATTTCAAAAGGAATTTATAATCCAGACAACTATTTGATAAGAATTCCTGTTCTAGCCGGGCGTGGTGGCACATGCCTGTAATCCCAACCCTTGGGAGGCTGAGGCAGGAGGATTGCTGTGAGTTCGAGACCATCCTGGGCTACATAGTTCCAGGTCAGTTTCAACTATAGTGAGACCTTGTCTCAAAAACCAAAAAAAAAAAAAAAAAAAAAAAAT